AAAAGGACGAGCGCTAACGTGTAAGGACGACACACAAAAAAGAAGACACTTTTTCTCTAATGTACTCTCCTGTGCCATTTTGATTGTGTTCTCTTCTTCGGCTCGGAAGTTGGTGGTGCGATGGCAGTCTCAGCAACAGTTACAACAGTTACTTTTTCCAATTATCTAAATAACTGGTAAATACAATGCAGTTTATTGTCCGTGGGGGAAACATAAGTGTTTTACTGACAATGTTGTTGTTAGAGTGATCGCAAACCAACGCCTCGTTTCATTGCGTTTTTGTCGAAAATATCTGATAAGGTGAAAGGGCTGGATTAGTAGTTGAGGTAACACTATTAGTAGCATGAAACTGAACAGTAACCAGTAGTGGAAGGTACAATATATTTATCACATATTTGAATGACGAAAACGGAATATTTGATAGCTTTTGAGCGATTGAAATCAAACCGTTTTTCGGTTGACGATCTTGAAGAATTGTTTGTCAAAAATCAGTTCTGTTGGGCTACTCAGAATTAAATAAAGAATGAGTTGCACTGATTATGATTACCCAACGGAACTAACGNCCAACGGAACTAAAGTTTCGTTTGAGTGATAATGTAGTTACCACTAAGAGCACCCATACAACCGTTTATGACAGGAATAAATGAAATGCATGTTTCTGTTAGTATCCATTACAATGAAGGCTTCCAAACTGTGTATGATCATTCGCGTTTTATTTAACTGATAGTGACCATTTAATTGAGTGTCCCAAGTGAGACTTATTTTTAACAATTAAACTCATTGCCGTTTTCATTTATGTTCGATTGCGTTTGTTCCCTTAACCCGACCATAGCTACACCCTTCAGTGCGTACTCCCACTGAACATGTTTCTCGAGAAAATCTACATATTTCTTTGGTTCTGGCATGTGACCATAGCAATGATCACAGTTCTCAGCCTGCTCATTTGGTTGCATCGGGTGTTTTTGATTCGATCCCGAATGCATTTCATACTGAGCTATTTGAGACCGCTCGATCCGAATCCGGCCAAGTTTCGTTTGGATTGGGAGAAACACGATCGCGAATTCGTGGACTCCTATCTCGGCTACGACGGTCTGTTCATCATCCGACTGATCAGCGCCAATTGCGGAGGGATGTTGGCCGGTGAATTGGTCTACTCGCTGTGGCAAGATTTTCGAAACCCGCGGCCACCTACGGCAGAAAAATGCGGGGGCACAGTGAATCGGGAACACACTTGTGGTTGTTTCACCATGCCGGTTCATGAAAATGCCCCAGACTGGTCAGTTCCACCGGTCCCAGGGGACTATCAGCCCGTCGCACGTGAGAGTTCATTTTGGCGAACAATGGATTCTATGCCAAATCATCGAAGTCAATTCACGCGTGGCCATTTGTCTCCGTCGTTTTCACGACGGAAATACATCATGGTCAAACGTGACACTACTCAATCGTTCCATACAGATAGCCAACATAAATTTCTACCCAGTGGATTAAAACATGCTCCGCTGGGTGCTGATCCTGATCAAAGCACCCATTCCACAGCTACAAATATGTCGACCGGACAGAACTTTCAAAATGGTCAACTAAATGATGATATTGTATGAGCTACTTAAAGAATGTAATGTTTTAAAATTTCCCCTCTGATTCGACGTTGCTTGGAATACGTACTTTCTGAGGTCACCGTGATGTTCACGGTTCATACGGCCCTTATTTCTCACCTGAGCTCCCTCCTGCAGCTCACCCATTACTACAACCTTAACTACCCAAAAGTGCGAAATCAGTATCCTTACTGTGCAAATGGCTTTGATTTTTTTCTGTCTCCGTTTTTGCTCATTGGTTTACTACCTCTCCCTCAAGAGTCCTAGATGAGGATAATTACCAGTAATGCTCACCATAACTGTTCATTCTACAAGCATCATTTCACCCCGTCGCATACGTTGGTATTCAGCAATCCGCTGCTGAGAAACTATTCCCTTTGAATGATTAGAGTGTTTGTTGATTATTCGCTGTACATTCCCTAGAATCAGTTCTTGGTTTTATAATTCTACCATAAATCTAACCGCTGTAAACGCATTGCAAAAGTTCCAATGAATACACGGTCAAAATAACCATGACTACATGTTTGTTCGAATCATAGTTAAATGTAAATGTTCTATTTTATGTGAACTTATTATTATATATATTACTTATTTGCACATTGATCTTCGGTCATGAAACAGCATCACTTCCTGGCAGACGTTAGTCAGTCAATCAGGCCAGTATTCTGCCGTACATGGGACTGTTTTAAGCTTTCCGGTGATGCGCGTAACGATGCAACATGTGTTAGTGGTAGTCTTTCAGCGAGCAATATCCTCGTGCTGCTGCACCGCCTGGAAAACGTTTCCATACCTTGCTTTAGTTGAAGACATTGGAGCAGAGAAGAAACAGTATGAAGATAAGCAAGCTAAGGCATGACACAGTGCTTACACCTAACTTCCATTGGGGTATCTGGGACTTCAGGTTTGTTGTTGTCCGCCAACATTAGGGTATATGACATGGAATCTCTTATGACCTATAGTTGACTGATAATTTCTTCATTCATGCCTTTGGCCGGATTTTTTGACAGCTGCTGCGAGCTAGCACACACGCACGCACTCATGCCATGCGGACTGACCCTATTGCAATATTGATCGGCTACAACCAATCGGATGTGAGTATTGAACTGCTCATGCTGACTGTCCCGTTGGCTGTTTCAATGCCGGCTTGATGGCATTAAGATGTCGTGTGGCGTTTGAGCCAGTTGTTGGTCTGCCTGCCCTTCTACGTGTTTCCCGTCCTTGCATGCTCACCGGCCTACGGACCGGACACATGCGTGCCACCAACAATAAACTTACTGCCTAATTCACCACTGGAAACGGTACACACCATAATCGAAGACAGTAGCGTGAATATATTCATACTTATTTGCAAGCCCATACATGAAACCTAAAATGTGCAACGAGGTTTAAAATCAAGTGCATTAAACAGGCAAAACATTGTTTCGTTACTCCTCACCCGAACGGTTCAAGTTCTTTACTGGAACGAACCGCAGTTATTTATGGTACTGTATCTATTAGGCTTGGTACACAACCATAAATAACATTTGCAACGCGGATAGATTTGTTCGGACAGGGCTTTCGGAACCAGTCGATTTCTGAATCCACACTACGGTTTGATGTTTCACAGATGGATTAGATGGTGCTAACTGAAACAATAATGACTTGCACTTCTACATAGAATGTTTCACCATTATTAGTATCTGAATGGTTTGACAACATTTCCATGGAAGCACACCACCAGTTTTGCATAATGCGCACACCTGTCGAACGGCAAGAACTACGAAACCATTCGGGCGCTTCCAGGACAAGTTTATCAAGTCATTCACCCATCACTTGCTGTGAAATTTTATTTACAAACGCTTAAGTCATGCTTGCTGTGGTTAGTAGTAACTAACCTATCTACAGAAGATTGAATCATAGTATGCAGAGTATTTTAAAGTATATATGAGAATAAGTTAAACATTCCGATTGCGAAATACGACGTAGAACTGTAGTATAAATTCATGAAAACGTCAGTCAGTGTGTATCATTATCCCACTGTGCAACAGGATTTACCGAGGTGATTTTTTGGTTGTGGAATCAATCAGCCCATGGATCAGCCTCGGTATGGAACTAGACTGCGTCACACGGTCAGCAAAATTAATGCTTTCCCGGAATGAAAATCCGATGTTATGCGCACTGTATGATGAGTGTTAAGGAAATGCAGTTTTCAGTTTGAAAGTAAGTTCTTAAGCAAGGCAACAGCAATAAAAACAAATTGAGAACAGATTTATTAACAAAAACATTTTACCCAAAATGAACTTCGATGAAGAAAGCTGGGCAGTGTCCTCAGAACCACTTCGCTGCATCAGTACACGTGCAAACTGCTCTTTCGTTGACCACGAGTATGCCATTAGAAATGAAGAGAGTTTGTCACAGTCGTAAAAGTACTGGAAAAGTGATGAATTCATTGCCCGATTGTTGATCACACTCAAGCGTTGGGACAAAAGGACAACCGCGTTATCGAACAACCAAACACTCCCCTGTCCGGCGTTAGATAGCAATGAAGGGAAACGTCTAAATTTTGATGTCAACAGGGATACCTCTTCCTTTGACACAACACATGGTCAAAATGCAACTTGGCCTCATACTGAACGGTGAATTCTGAACATCACGAATAACAACAATATTTATAAGTATGCTTTGGTGACAGAAACTCAGATTTATTATTTCCAGGTGCGTGGAAAGCGTGACGGACTTATCACTCTATCATACATAACTTTGATGATGACCGCGTTCAGTATCCTTATGCCAATTCTCTTTTCGTCTGAGATCCCGAAATTGCAGATTGATATGAACGATCACTTAAAACTTCAACATGCATGTAAGCAGAAGCANCAATGAAGTGATTCAGGAGATGATCCGAAAAGCAATGCATTTTTGTCCATACAGAATAATTTTATCTCACACTTGTACTGGAAGATCTTACGCTTCCTGTACTGAAGGCAAACTGTAGATTCGAGACTCACTACCTCTGAGATCCATAGGACAGAGCAAATGNGTCAATAAAATACTAAAATTAACAGTAGCTGAAGTACGTGGCTATTAAATCTATATTGTGTTATCTTTATGTCACGACTAGTCTTGTTTTTGCTCATTTTGTGATATTCTACTAAAACATCAGCAAGAGTAACTGTTATGTTACGAACATTGGAAGAGAAAATTGGGAAAATTGAGCGAGATGTGAATCCTAGGAACAATACTGTGCGTATTTATGTTCGCTGCTCGCCTTGCAATGTCTTCTTTAAGCATATGACAGAGAATTGGTATTACCATTTATCAAATTCCATCTGCGAGATAATTTTGAACTATCCTTTTGATAAGAGAGTGAGAGGATGCAAGTGAGTAAGATATAGAACAATCACGTGATTGTCAATTTGTGTAAACCGAATGAAATTACGGTCAATCGGTTTCGTTTTCTATTCATTCGTATTTACTGGTATTCTTCTTCTTCGACCCCTGATTTCGGACAATTGACTTGTTTTGGGCTAGCAGAAATTTGCTGAAGAGTAATTTTCTAACTGCTGTTGAATAGCTTCCGCTCATCACGGACGATATCATTTTCGTAATTGAGGGGATAAAACAAACAGTGACTAAACAATGCATCTCTCATTCTGTCTATCTTAGTAGGTATTGGCCAAAATCCTATTATTACGGAAGATATTACTAAGGATTCGCGCAAATACATACAAACGCAAAGACAAATACACATGCGCATATGATAGGTAAACGGACAGAGACGAGAACCTGTCGATCTGATGGTCGATTCAGCTAACATTTACCAAAGGATACAACCCTGTTTGACACAGTCCCAAGTGTCGCTGTTTGATTGTGAAGCACGGGATATCGACCCTCCCCCACCCCAGCTCGCTCGAAATAAAACAGCCATGCCGCATGAGTGATACTCGCTCACACGGCCGCGTGAGAGTAACAGTAATCAGTCGCGCAAATCCCTCTTAGTTAATCCAACAATTTACGATGAGGTTATGCGACCAAATTGTCAACCTCGCCACTGGTGCCCCAACTAGCCACAGCAACAACAACAGCAACCGATAATTCTGCGTTTTAAGCACAATATCGAAAAATTCTCCTAACTGGTTAGTCGGACGAATAGACACGAATGAATGGATTAGATCTCCGCATCTTCAACGAGGCTTAAGATGGCCGGATGAACATTGAAATTATCCGTCCCTTGTTGAGAAAACTGGGCTGGAGGACGAGAGAGGAAAGGAATAAGCAGATCAACCAGCGTAGATTATCTTATCCCTAAAGTACCACACTCGAAAGAATTAGTTAGAAATGGGTGGCTGTGATAAGGAAAAGTAAAATGACTATAATGTGTCGAAGACGAACAGACTGCAGAAGTGCGGGCTTTCCAACAACTCCTGTTTTATATTCTGATGGAATTAAGGGGCTGAAAGTCGGAGAGAGAGAGCTTCAGTACATCAAATTTGGACCGAATTATTTTCCAATGAAATCGAAATGCTACCTAAAAGGATTTTATTATAAATGTGTTCAACCACATATGTCTAGCACTTGACTCACTGCGCTGAATTGGTGATCTAAATTAGCGCAACTGGATGACGTAAGATGTGTTTGAACAATTGATTGTTCGTTCGAATATCGCCCTTTAGGGTACAATAGATGTCAAAACTAGGCTAGTAATGGAACAAAAATGTCGTGACTCATGCATTCATGGGAAAGAATGATAAAGACAACTCCTATGAGCCGACCATATTTCCCAATTTTATATATATGAAAAACTATTTAATAAAATATCAAATAGCGCATGAATGAAACCAGCAAAACTAACGTCAGCAGCATAGTATAACAATGAGGTTTTCCCAGTGGTATTGCAGACCACTCTAAATGAATAAAAGAGAGATTAATTGGAAAAACATTCGTTTACCATTCCTAAATCAAATCATGCACGCGCCTTCTCATACACAGAAAATGTTAAATGTTACAGAAGACAGATTCACTTTGTT